CCTAGGCCCACTGGGGCTGTAGTGCCAAGGGGGGAAAAAAAGGACATAGCTTCTTGTAGCCTGGCCTCTTCTTCGGTTTCGTAATCTTTTTTACACAGACGGTAGGACACCTTGGGCCAGTGATCCGCTCGTCCAAGGCAGCTGCCTACACACAGGACAATAGAAACAGAATAAACGAACACAGACATCCATACCTCGAGTGTGATTCGAACCCACGATCCCAGACGAATGAATTCTCGAACTGAGTCGAGTCTTATGTTGCGACCAACGGTCAGTCGGCTAGTCTGTCTTTAAATAAAGCACCCATCTGGGGCTTACGACGAGATTTTTATTACTATCAGGCAATTGCGGGTTTGTTGATGTGGGGCGCTCTCTCTGACGAGAGGACTGATCTATCGTTTACAATTGTTGCTGGCCCTCGCCAACGCAGTCATTCTCGGGTTCGATTCCCGTGGACTCGCCTCCATATTTTACTGTCTCAGATTTGAGGTTTCCCTTTTCGTCGCCTCCTACGACTCGCTGAGCTATAGTGGAGGTATTCGACCCCACCTCCACACGGGATACTTTCGAATAAATTACGTGTCTCCCTTTTATAACTTCGGGGGGAACTGAACAGAGATCATTACCTCTAACATCTCCTCTCACACTGCGTGCCTATTCGTTGCCACGGAAACGTGCCTAGGGACTTCTACACAGCAACGGATATCCTTCCACTGTTGAGAGTGTAACCTCTGAAACGTGCTAACCGAACTGTTGTCTACCCATGGTACTATGCGTCACAATACATAATACTTTTATATTTACAAATTAATACCATATGACGGTACAGACCACACTCAAACTGATATAGCTGGAACAGCTATACATGGTTTAATTAAGTGTATTATACGATTTTATTTTGAGAAAGCGACCTGTTCACATATACCAGCAACATGACTGTTAAGATATAAAATTATTATGTGGTTCTGGTTATTAGAATCACAGTTCACACACACACACATACATCTTAATACACAGGTGCGTTAAGTATACTTTACTTAATAGTAACCTTTNCCAAATTACTACCATATGACGGTACAGACCACACTCAAACTGATATATCTGCAACAGCTGTACATGGTTCAATTAAGTGTATTATACGATTTTATTTTGACAAANAGATGAGTGATCAGCTCGTCGCAAGACCTCTACTTGTAGACAAACACAGAAAAACGCACACAAACATCCATGCCCTGAGTGGGATTCGAACACACGGTCCCGGCTTCCGAGAGAGCGAAGACAGTGCATGACTTAGACCCCTCGGCTACCGTAAGCGGCTAAGTATATTTTACTTAATAGTAATTGTAATATCAATTAATATTAAATATCGTTTGTAGAAAATTTTGTTTGGGAAAACTTACAACATATGTAAAAAATTTTAATATACAGATAATAACACAGACCTGCTGATAAACAGGATCCATATTTCAGTAAGGTAGAATTCGTTAAGAGAATTTCTGACAATGTACTGCTTGATGACAACTCGTGTGCTAAAAATATGTACTGATTCTTAATAAATATTAACTGCCTTTGAGGTTACTTTAAGGGTTATTTAAAGTAAAATTACATTTTACTAGCCACATAGGTATAACTGTGTTACTTATAATGAGCTGCATGATATCTGACAGAAAAGTCTTGCAGCTGTCTAGATCATATTTCAGCTCTACTGAGTAACAAACTGAAAACTAACATAATATTGGAAATTCTCTCTCATTAGCACAGAGTTCCGGCAGATACGGAAATTGTAGCGATTTCAGAGAGTACATCAATTGCTGTGTATAAAACAAGTGTGGTCCGGCAGGAATTGTACAAAATCATACTCCATTAATGATCCACTGTCATATACAGCCATGCGCAAATCAGTTATTTTAGATTCTACAGAAATGTCTGAACCATACATTACGTTCGATAATATTATTTGCCAACTGACATGTCATGTTTGTCACAGAAATTAACAGCATTATGTAACAAAACACAACTGGAATCTCCAAAGGAATCAAAGCAAACAAACAATTCCATAAATAAACAAAAAAAATATTTCCCGGTTTTGGAAAATTACATATTGTCACGTGTAGGGGGGCACGCGTGACGAAATGACGGGTTCTAGTTCAGATTATTGAATTTATTGACAGCTTGGTTACACGCACTCTCTCAATTACACTCAAATTACAGCGCAATCGCTGATTTACATACACCTCATAATCCACTGTTGCACGCACCGTCTTCTAAATCAAACTTCACGACGAGGACGACTATTTTGAGGGCCGATGTGGATCTGCGTAAGTGTAGGTGAATTCCTTGTAACATGATGCGATAAAACCAAAGTTCACGAACTTAATGACTGTACCATGTACATATATAGGGCCGCGCCATAGCTCAAGCGGTTAGTCACTGGCTTCCCCCTGCGGCGGCCCGGGTCTGGTCAAGTGGGATTTGTGGTGGACAAAGTGGCGCTAGAGCAGGNCAACGTAGTCACCGCTAGAATTGAGGCACTTCTCTATCGGGGAATACGAGTAAGTTTCTGTGTGCCTGTGTCAAAGAAGTCTGTCGCGTGTGAACTCGTTGACTAAATAATTCTGCTCAGTCTTTGCTTTGCCCTACATATATTAGGCTTTGTTCAGTTGTTAAAGTAAATTTCCATTAAGTTTAATTTTGGATTTGTTTTGTAATAAGCCATTTTCATTCGAGGTCTGTCGTAAGTTATGCAGGTTTATTTAGCACGAGAATTTTGCTCCTTCTTTTTTTAATAACGAAGAGTTTTACTAAGTCTGCAACTTCCAGTGAACAAAACGAACAACTGGAGTGGCGAGAGTCCTATCGTGGCTTGAATGTGGAGTACAATCAGTGAGAATTCATGTACGTATGTCGTAGCTTCATCCTCTGCCTATTTTATTACTTTGCTTCGTTCCTTCATATTGTTACTCCGTTCTCTCTTTTCTTCTCAAAACATTAAATTCAGTTGCATTTTCTCCTTCNTTTTCTCTGTGTTTATCTACAGGTAGAGGCCTTGCAACGAGCTGATCACCCGCCCAAGGAGTCCTACCGAATGTGTAAGATCTAGAGAAACCGAAGTGAACGGAGAAGTTCATNGCCTTACGTGGCGGTCGCGCTTTACTCCCCAGGAAAATTGTTTAATTAATTCCTGGTACTCATTTATGTTAGAGCCTGAGTGAACCCCAGGGCCATAGGGCAGCTGGAAGGATTATGTCAATTGAAAAAAATCCAATGACCTCATCAGGAATTGAACCCGCGACCTTCCGGCTTGTAGCATAGCCCCTCAACCAACTACGCTACCCCGTGGCCCCCTCCTTCAGATGGTAAACTTCCGAATATAAAGATTCCACATTTGTAAGTAAATTAAAACTACTACGGTGTGAGGAAGATATAACATACACATACAACCAGAGAACATATGGACCTTTTTTTGTATAATTTTTATAAATAAATATCTCATTCCAAGATGGTGTTAGGCACGCTAGAGGGCAATATCGTGCCTTCCGAGGGCCGTTTAAAACCAAACATGATCTCCATTTGAATAAGCCTCAAGTGAGTTGCAGGCAACCTGAATTCCTGTAGTGGGTTACGTAATCTAAATTAACCTAAAATCAATATGAACAAATTAAAGCATTTGAAACCGGTCGGCCTATCCATCTATAGTATCTATGGCTCCACAACCCTTGCAGACCTTGGCGG